TCACGCACCTCAGGAACGCCGTTTGCTCTTGCGCTCCACGTACCTGTCCACCGCCCCCTTGCCACCCTTCCGCTCGAGACGCTCAAACGTGTCGGCGAGGACTTCGCGCTTGAGCTGGGCGCGCTTCGGAATGAAGGGCCGCTGTTTCTTGCCCTGCCGCACCGCCACCGCCTCGCGCTTGATGATTTCCCTCCGCAGTGAGTCGCGACGCGCCTGCACCTGACGACCCTTTGTGCGCGTCACGTACAGCTGCGACTCGCGCTGCAGCTGCTGCAGTTCCGCCTGCACAACCTCCAAGGGTATCAGCTTCAGCGCCGCGAGCTCGTCCTGCTGGTCGTCGCCAAACACCTCACGCTCTGTCTCCGACAGGTCGTACTCCTCCAGATCAGCGCCACTCGCCTCGAGCTCGCCGCGCTTGATGATGCACTTCAGGCAGCGCATGCGGTGTCTGCGGCGTGTCTCCTCATCGTCCTGCTGCTCGCGCAGGAACTTGTAGTGCTCCTCAAACTGCTTCTGGTCGACGGTACCGTACAGATCGCTAAAGCGTGGATCGACCGACGGGCGGCGACGCACCACCGGAATCGTGCTACGGCGCTGTGGCCGCACCCGCGCACTGCGCTCTGGCGGGGGGCCGTCCAAGTTGTCGCCACCCATCCAGTGTGTGCTGCTACACTGCCACTACTATAAATGATGTTGCCGACGTTGCAGGGAAGAGAAAAGAAAGGAAAGGAAAGAGGGAAAGGGTAAAGACAAAAAATCATGAAGGCAGAGATGCATATGGACATCGCGGGTGAATATTTGATTGCGGCACACTTCACCATTACAGCCACCAGATGGTCTCACGCACAGCATGACAGTGGTATGCGCGCCCAGATTGTGTCACAGTCCCCTCAAGAAGTAATCACCAAGGCGCCCACCCACTCACACACTCTCATTACGTACGAAAGCACGGTATTGAGCAAAATTGACAGCGACAACAACAACAGTCTCACAACTAGAGCGCATTGGGACCCTCGTTAATGCCTGGCGGCCGGTAAACTCCTGCAGCATCCGCGGTCGTTGGATCCACCACGACACTGTTAAAACGGTCAGTAGCACCAACAGCAGAAGCAGTCGTCGATGATGGAGCGAAGAATGCTTGACCCATACCGCTCCTCGCGGCCCGCCGAGCCGCTTCTTCTTCACGTATCATCTCCGGGTCCTCGTAGTGCGGCAGTGTGACAAAAATATTCACAACGAACATTACGATACCAAGGCCGATTGTTACGGCAGCTGCCACATAGCGCAAGATACTGCCCCCAAACACCAGGGTCCCTATGAAAATGTAGAGAAGTCCACGACCGGAGTATGTTGTAACGAAATAGAGGTACCTGACCCATTTGTAGATGATCCACCGCAAGCACTTCACTTGGCGGAACTCTGCCGTGATGGCGAAGAAGCAGAGCACCAAGATGTAGACTTCCAAAAAGAATGTCGAAATACCGAAGTTCAGCGTGACGAGGTTCAGGAAGGTGGCAGCCATTACGAGACCCATTGAGATACATGCCGTCAGAAAGAACACGCGAGGCCAATTCCTGCCGGCTGTAGTGAACTCACTTCCCTGCTGCTGCTGCTGCTGCTGCTGGTGGTAGAGAGTATCCTGTGGGGAAAACTGAGCTGTTCCCTTTGCGATGTCATACGTGATGGACATGTGAGCGAGGCCACACACTTCTTTGTAGACACTATTTTGTTTGCTCCACAGCTGACAGGCAGAGGGGTGGGCAGACAACCAAATATAGTGAAGAGATAGGCGAAGTGGAGAACTGAGCCCAATTGACAAAAACAAGCGCCCCCGCCCCCTCTTTTCTATATATATTTTTTTTTCTGGCTCCGTTACCTTGTGTAGCAGCATGCCATCTTATTTGTTACCATTGTGCACTGCACTCATCTCTGCAACATGTGCCTCCGTCGCGTACGGCAGCACATTGTAGAGAGCGAGAAGGTTCGACTTGGCGATGGTTGTGAAGCTGCTGAGTTGCACTGCCGTCAGCCCGCGGGCGGCCTCACGTAAAGCTGATGGGGGTGCCGACGCAATCACCTCACCGTACCTGTTATCCTCCAGAAGCACACGCATTGCACGTTGAAAATCCTCCGGTGTCATCTGTTGTTTCACACGTTCCACATCACTCGGTAACACATGCGCAATATCGCTCGCTGTCACACGATGCAGTTGATCTTCCAACTGAAACGACGACCCGCTCACTGGTCCTGTCTTCGCCGTTGTTGCTGCCGTTTCTATTGTTGTAGACCTCAACCACGCCCACATGTCACTTCCCCCTTGTTGCCTCTTGTTGCTGTACAACTGAAACAGAGAGAAAATGCGACAATTCGAAGCGGATTGAGGAAGAGTATGTGTATGCATGTGTGTATCGGTGTGTGTGTGTGTGTGTGTGGTCTCAGCACCGAGGTAGAGGCGCCCGCAGGTCTTGCTCCATTTCCTTCACTTAGTCAAACACAAATTCACCAGTCAAAGCATCACGCAGCCCCACTCTCCTCAGTATCATTGTCGTTCCCAACGTACTCGTCGCTCTCCCAGCTGCTCTCCGTCTCCCACTCAGCTTCGTCAGCCTCCTCCTCGTGCTGCCAGAACGCCTCGTCCTCCAACCGCCGTTGCCTGTTGTTCTCCACCACAGGATCGGGAATGCCGGCGGCCTCCAGAGCGGCAAGCAGTGCCATGTCCCTCGTACTGTTCCAAGGCAAGAATGTCCGCAGGAAGAGCATAAAGGGGTTCTGCTCCTCACCGATGCGCCGTTCCCGTCCCTCCTCGTCAAACATAAGAGTGTACTGCATGAGCTGTTGCGCCGGCGTAAGCGTCGCCGGTGACAAAGGGCCATACAGGGCCCGGAAGCGCAACAAAGCATCCTGCTCCAGAGGCGTCAGCTCTCGAAGTGTCGCACGACGTGTCGCATCACGCATGTCCTCTTCCGTTATTTCGTCAGCATCCAGCAAGTGAGCGGGAATCGTCATCATCGTCTGCTTCATCAAGTCCTCCTCCCTGAGCGACGCGTGTGACCATGACGTGGGAAGAGCAGTGCGGCGCAAAGCGGCAGCAGCACCAGCACCAGCAGCAGCAGGGCTATAGGACGACAGCCAAAGCCCATTATCCTCTGTAAGGACTCGCCGCAAGAAGGCAGTCGGCTCCGCTGCCTTCCACATCTCAGTGTTCCTTGCCACCCACAACGCCGCTACATGCAAGCTCTCCTCGGTAGACGTTTCGTGCGCCTTCACGACGTCCCGCCATGGCGGCGGGGCCGATGGCAGCAGCGTCTGCTCCCCAACTTTCTCGACAAGAAGCACTGCTGCGGAGGGGAACCTTCCAATGGCGTCTGCCAGCATCACTGAAGCAGACGGAGTGTTGTGGAAGGCGCGGAGCTGCGCCGCCGTCATGTCACGTATAACTTTGGACGGCTTGTTCTCCCCCGGCCCCGACCCACATGCCCGTGCCAGCTCCTCCCGCTCAAGAAAGTGTTTGACAAGGGCGGCGCTGAAAAAAAAGCCGGGAAGGGCCGACAGCGCCAACGCCAGCGTGCGGTTGGACCACATGTGACTCACCGTATCGCCCTCAGCACCGTTGGTGTCGCGGGCCAGTTCGCGTGTAACAATAAAGTACACCTCCAACAGCCATCCCCATCCCTTTGTTCGAAGTGCCAAGTAGTCGAGCTGCAACAGCATCCCGAGCGGATCAGTGCTATCAAGGGAGTAAATCAGTTTCGCTATCTCCCACGCAGCTCTCGTAGCCGCCTTTCTGAGCGCCTGGTGCACACCGCAGCGTAGGATCTGGAACACCTGCCTGTTGGCAGGAATACAAAACGGCACACAGCGGTGACGCACTGTCTGCCGCAGCGGGAATCGTGAAAGCAGCACACCAACATGGTAGAGAGCGAGGTCGATGACTTCCTGTGTGCGCGGCACATCGCCCATCGTCTCAAATGCACTGCTAGCAACCATTAAGGTTGGAATGTGATACGGCGCAGAACTAATACACTCCATGATACCCGCGAGACCTCCATGGTGCGACTCGCAGAACGCCAGAGCCGCATCCGCGCGGCGCGCCTCGGGAGTGGCATTGTACAAGTAGTGCACAGGAGAGCAACCACCACTACCACCACCACCACCACCACCACAGCAACCACAACCACAACCATCACTGTTACTACTGTTGCTGCTGCTTTCTTCACCATTGTTGTTGTTATTCACATCTTTTGCTGCAATGAACTCTCCGAGGCTGTAGTACGGCGGCCAGCAGTAACGGTTAGGGGTCGCCAAGACGCTGTGTCGGAACCGCGGCAGAGTGTGCAAGTGTTGGGCGAAGAGCAGCGAAGATGGTCTACTATCAGCCCGCCGCTGCGGCACACGGCCGTCGCCAACGTCTTCCACTGCCCCCACGCCGAAGCGCCAGATGCGCTCCAGCCGCGTGTCGAGCATTTTGGGGTCGCATATTGAGAGCAACTCGAGCAAGTCTGTCTCTTCCTCCGCGCTGCAGCCTGCATCACGTTGCCTACTGTTTCCAATTGCATCTCCTTCCCGCTGCCGAAGAACCGCCTCAAGCAGCAGCTCCTCCTCCAGCTCTTCTTCGCGACGTCTCGCCTTGTTGTTCTTGCCGCGCTGCTTCTTCCTGTGTGGTCTCTTCATCACCTCTTGCTGACTACTGTTAACCGTGGCGTCCTCTGCTTCTATCACCGGCTTCTCCTCGGCTGGGGCATTCTTCATCGCTCTTGATTGTGCCGCCGGCCCGTTGTCGTCCCTTCCTCCACTCTTCATTTTACGAGGCTCATTTTTGGCGGTGCTCGTCGTCACAACCTGCTGCTGCTGCTGCTTTTGCTGTTGTTCTTTTTCCTCCCCTTGGGGTTGTGGTTTCTCTGGCTTCTGGTGGACATGATCTCGGCGCTGCGCCTGTTGGTCACTCGTCCCTCGCTGCCCTTTGGCTTTTTTAGTGCCGCTTTTGGGCATCTTCATCGTCGAGGGGTACTCCTCCGCGCCATTGCCATTGTCGTCGTCGGCATCGGCTCCTGTTGAGACCTTAACGAGATTTTGCAAGCGGCGCAGCTGTCGGGCAGACATGAATGTGCGAAGTCCCTACCACCACCACCACCACACACACACACACGCCCCGCCTGTCTCTTGCTTCTTCTTTGTTATTTTGTTTTCCCCTCCCACTAGATAGCTCTCCACCGGCCAGGACCACCCGAAACATACCGGAATGGAAGGCAGAAACAGGGGTAGAGAACGAGAGAGCAAAAAAAAAAAAAGATGTCGCAACACACAGCGATCTAAATATAGAGATTGGAGCCCACGATGTCACCATCGCAGCGCAGAGGGCAGACTGAGCAAAGAAATTGAGGGGAAGTGTACTTTGGAGAGGCTGGCTCTCCGTCTAGGAGTAGCGTCACCACCCGCCGCCCGCAGCGTAGTGCATCTAAAAATGTCTATATATATAAACCGCGTAAACACATAGTGAGAGGAGAACCGCATCGGGCAAATAAATATGGGGCTCAGCGCACCGAGGGAGCTCGAAGCATCGGCGGCCTCGGCGGCGAATCGCTCCCGTCAAGAACGCCTTGCCCAGAGTACGACCTTGACACACCGCCAGCGGAGGTCAGTGAAGATGAGGGGCCGTGACGCGCCAAACTACGTCCCCCATTCACGTCACCCTTCCAGGAATCAGCGGCAGCAACAGCAACAGGTGACGCCGAGCGTCGATGTGGCAGGCTAGCACGCGTTGACTCCCTTTCCACCCACATGGGAGACGGGGACCCGCGTACCGAGGAGCTACGGCGTGGGGTACCAAGCGAAAAGCGTCGTTGATGTTCCTGCAATGTCGCACCACGTGACTCTGGTGTTGTTATTGGCACCGGCAGCGGTGGAGGCGCACCGGTGTCCCACTCGTCGCCACATGTCTGCCGTCTGACGGCTGAGCGCTGCGCCGCCTCCCACGCCAGCCGCTCCGCTGCACGGAACGCCTCCAGCCTTCCGCCCTTTTCGCTACGCGGAGCCTGCGCGAGCGCCTCCTTAAGCCTGGCAATCTCCAGGACGGCCCGCTGCGCCAGCGACACGACACGCCCACGCATGTCACCGATTGTTACTTCCGCCTGGCCAGGGTCGGCACCGTCCGTCGTGTGGGGCTTGGGGCTGCCGTCGAACAATTTCTGCGACACCGCGTCGCCGCCCGGGTTGTGGCTATCAGCAGGTGGCTCAGAGCCGCTCTGGTGGACGCTCAGCAGTGTGTGTAGCGTGGCGGCCTCCGCCCGTCGCTGCAGCTCCACCTCGTTGCGAGCGTCCGCGAGCATGCGTTGCTGCTGCGCTAACTCGTTGCGTAGCCCATCGTTCTGTGTGTGGAGCTTCTTCAAGGATGACTCAGCCTCTGCGCACTCCTTGGCGCGAAGTGCGGCGGCAGATTCCTGCATCCCACGCAGCACCCCCAGCTCCTTTGTGAGGGCACTTAATTCCTCATGGTGCTGCTGTTGTTGTTGCTGACGCGTTGGCAGTGCAACACTCTTGCTACGCTGCTGCATCCTGGAGGTCTGCAGTTGCAGCAGCATGGATTTCACCTTTGTCGACAGAGCGCCATTCTCATCGCGGAGTGTCTGGCACTCATCTTCTGTCTTCTTCAGTTTTTCAGTGCATCGAGCCAGTTTGGCAAGCGCTTTCGCCTTTGCGTCTATGATCTGTTTTTGGCACTGCTGGTCCTCCTCAAGCACGCGTAGCCGCTCCTGCACCTCTGCAGCCTCCGCCTGTATTGACCCGTAGCGCTCGCGCAGCTCCACGCAGTCCTGCTGGCTTGCCTCCAACTGCAGGCGCAGAATGCCGCGCTCGCGCCGAAGTTCTTCAACAACCTCCGTCAGCCGTCTTCGCTCCGCCCTGGCTTCCTCTTCTGCCACCCGCAGCTCTGAGAACTTGGCCTGCAGCTTCTGCAATTCGCCACTACGCTGGTGGCACTTTTCTTCCAGCTGTTGCTGCTGTTGCTTGCCCTGCGCAAGGCTCGCCTCAGATGCGGCGAGGGCCTCGCGGCAGCGTGCGATCTCCGCGTTACTCCACTCAGCTTGCTTCGTCCCGAGTCGCTCAACGTGGCGCCGCATCTCTCTCTGGCGCTGAAGCAGCAACTTCTGTAGCGTCACGAACAATCGCTCACAGTGCTGCTGGCATCGCTGCAGACGGCCGCACTCATCCGTGTCGTTTCCGTCTTCATCGGGAATCTTCTTTGCGGTGCCTTTTCCCATGGCCTCGCGCGGTCGACGCTCCTGCTGCGCGGGCCTCACATTACCCGACAGCAAGCCGTCCCTTCGCAGCTCGTCACGCAGCTCCCTGCGTGTGACAAGTCCCAGCAAACTGTCTTCCTCTTCATCGTCATCATCCTCGTTATCGTTGGTGCCCATACACTCCTCTGCGTCGCACCGCTGCAGTGGGAACATGGGTCCTGGGAGCCCACGTTGCGGCAGCCGCGTGTGGCGTGAGGCGCCAGTGGCAGCATCACCACCACCACCACCACCATTACTAGTGCGGCATGTCTCTATGATTGTCTCCAGCGTCCCGCGCATCGCTTCCAAATGGCTGGCGGTCTCGCGGACGGCGCGGCGCAGCGTCTTAGTGGCACGCTCTGCCTTTCCTTGCTCCGCTTCGAGTACGTGAACGCGGTGCATCTTTCGCCGAACTTCGTCCGTCTGCTGGCGCAGCGCATCCTCGACAGAGCGCAGGCGTGACTCGAGCTGCGCCTGCTCCTCTTGTGTCGAAGTCGTCGCTCGCTTCGCCGCCTTCTCCGCCTCCTGCGCCTTGTGCTGCAGCTGACGGATTAGGGCCTCCTTCGCCCGCGTCAATTCTTGCAGCTCAGTGTTCTCAGCCTGTAGTTCGCCCTGCTGCTGCCGCAGCCGCTGCAATTCGACCTGGCACGCCTCCAGCTGCTCCGACAGCTTTACCCGCTCACTCTCCTTGGCGTTTACTGACGCCTGAAGCTCATGCCACTCGAACGTGCGAGTCTTCAGCTGCGCCTCAAACTCAGCAATCTGCTGCCGCATCTCTTCCTGGGCCAACTTCCACTGAGCCTTCTCAAAGTTTAGCTCCTGCTGTATGCCAGAAGATGCCAGGCGCTTCTCGTCCTGCGCGTGGCATAGCTCCACCTCCACACGGCGGGCCTTCTCCCGTTCCTCCTGCAGATCCTGGTGCAGCTCCGCTATGGTGGATTGTAGCGCTTCACATTGAAGCGCAAGCTGCTCTACTTTCCCCTGGAGTGAGTCGCACTCTTCAGCAGTTGTCTGTTTCTCCTGTAACAGTCTATCGTAGCGCTCGTTTTGTGACTTAATCTCGCGACCTACCTCCTGAAGCACCGACTCCTCTTCCGCATCGCGCTGTGCCTCATACGCCTTTAGCGCCTCCAGTATCCGCTGTTGCACCTCCTTTTCTGTGAAGAGTGGCTCGTCGCGGATAAGAACAACATCATGCCCATGTGGGCTGCTAGCAGGCCGCGAGGAAACAGTATCCCGCCGGCTTTCGCCCCTTTCTTCCTTCTCGATACCTCCTCCCAGATATTCCTCTCCACCTGGCTGTGATGGTGGTGTTGCCGCTTCCGCAGAAGCCGAAGCCGAAGCAGCGGCAGCAGCAGCAGCCATAGCCCAGATTTCCTTCGCTGTTGTCACCTTCTTGGCGGAGTCGGAGAGCTTCACTGTCTTCTTCTTTCTCTTGAAGAGTCGCTTCTTGACGGCGCTGTCCCCACCGCCTACCCCTGCAGCGGGGGTGGGCGAAAGGAACAGCAGCGTACTGGGTTCCTCCGCTGCGTCTCCACCGCTCCCCGACGACGCCCACGTTGGTCGCCGCCGCTGCTGCTGCTGCTGCTGCTGGTGGAGCTGCAGTGGAAGGGCGGCAGCAGCACAAGGGGACAGCAGCTTCTTTTGCCCAACTGTCCCTGGTGGTGGTGCTGGTGCTGGTGCGGCGGCGTGCGTCACGGTGAACCTCGCGGGGGTCTGGGTGTTGGGCAACGATGCCTGTTGGTTGACGAGATCTGGGGATGCCGTGTCCACGAGAAGCTCGAGGGCAGAGCGCACCACTCGCCTGCCAACACTCCCGCTGGTCCCTAAAGCCGCCGCTGCACCGGATGGCTGTCGGCCGGGCGTCTTGTAGTCCGCCATGCGCGTACCTCTCCGCCTTCTCCACTCACAGCACCACAAATGATAGCCCAGCCTGCCGTAGCAGTCACTGCTATTTTTGTTGTTGTTGCTTCTAGTGGTCCGCTACCAGTCGCCGCAGAGCAACACGCCAATCTAATTCTATTCCTCCAAGTTCAATGCCTATTCTTGTGAGGCTAAAGAGAACGATACAGAGTGTAGAAATCGGAGAGAAAATGCGGTACATCATTTAGTCTTCCATACACAGTACAAGTCGTGCTCATTGCAACACGGAGAGCGTCCTATCGCTGTCCGCACCCGCACATCCCCTTTCAACTCTGAATTTGCAGAACTTCACATCGTTTCTTCAACTCTTCAACCAATCAGCGAGCTGCAGCAAGACATTGGCCTCACCTCCTTCGACTTCATCCAGGGCAACGTGAACAGACGATCGCGCAACACAAAACGGAAAGATACAGACAACACAAAGGGAAGCAAAGGCTCCGTCCATCACATAGCATTCATAGTCTCTTTGCTCGTACTCCGCTCTACCTTCGTTCGTGGCATCTTCCCACTAGCGAGCATTTCAAGGGTGTGCAGGCACCCTTCTTCCTTTTGCACACGCTTCATACTCTCCTCTGTCATGATGTCTTGCCGAGCCGCCTCCAGCTCCTTGCGATGCTGCAGCCACTCCTTCTTGAACTGTGCCACATACAGAAGCTGGTCATCCACTTCGCGTATCATTGTGTCGATGACGCGCAGAGACCCTTTTGCATGCCTTCGCTGCACCTCGAGGCGCACAATAAATTCTGTCTTCGCCTGCTGCTGGAGAGCGGAACCTCTGTTACCCGATCGTGACATGGCAGTCCCCTTGTTGCTCAACAACTGCGCCTCTTAGTGACCCCGCACTTGGGTGTGCCACTTTCCTTTCTTTGCCTCATATGTGAAGCAATGATTTGTTTTAAGGGGTTGAATACCGGAAAAGAAAGAAAAGGGTAATACGGCGGTCGCAGCGCACACGTACATGCACCCTCATGCAGACAAAGGTGGATACAACGAAGCAACATGGAGTAGAACAAAAAGTCTCACGCAGAAGCATTCACATATGCAGTGTTTCTGCTCAGCCAAAGTCATGGCGGACACAATTTCCTCTCACGCCAACAGAAACAACGGAGAATTCGATATCAATGCGAGACACAACAGCGTCGCGCCCTCATCAGGCTGCTGGAGCCGCATAGAGATTCATACTAGCACTGTTTTGTCTGCCACATTCGCTCTTGAAGTGTTCGCCTCCATACATCCCATTGTGCATTGGTCTCCTGCGCATTGGTGGGGGAAACCTCATCGATAAGACGACTGGCGTTGCGCGATTTAAAAAGCGCTCGGCGCCTCTGCTTGAATGACTCATTCTCCTGGCTCTCGCGCTCAATCATCTGACGCAGCCGACTCGCCGACACGTGGGAGGACGATGACCTTGGACGGGAAGGTGCGCGCGGTGCCTGACTCCGTCCCCGCTCCGTCCGCACCACCACGCTGGGACCTTCCCTTGATACAGCACTAATGGAGCGCGAGGCACCTCCTCTACGCAGCAAGTACTGCGGCTCATAACAGCCCCCCGAGGCGGTGGAGAATGGTATCGAGCGGCCTCTCTGTTGTTGGTCATATTTTTGATGGTGCTGCCGCTCCACGGCTCCTCTCTCAGGCCTTATCGCCCACATCTGTGGGTGCGCGCCATTATCACGCCCGCTGCAGAAGTCACTGTTTTCATTGGCGCTAACTGCGTTCCGAGGGAGAGAATACTCTTTCACGTCGGTGCTGGCGAAAAATTGTCGTCGTTGTGCTACTGCCGCTTCGACCTCCTTGCCACAGTCGCTTGCCTCGGCCCATTCTAATGTGTTCCGCCCCAGCGCAGAACCGTACGGATCGCACCCCACCTCGAGCAGCAGCCGCACGCAGTCCACATGCCCCTGATACGCTGCCACCATGATGGGCGTCACACCCTGGTGGTTCGGCGTCGCAGGCTGTGCCCCGCTGTCGAGCAGCAGCTGCAGCATCTCCAGGTGCCCCTGCTGTGTGGCGATAAAGATGGGCGTGGCGCCAGTGCTCCGTCGGCTGTTGGGGTCGGCGCCGAACTGCAGCAGCACGCGCGCAACGGCAACATGGCCGTTCTGCGCTGCCACAAAGAGTGCGGTGGCGCCGCCCGGCAACTTTGCGACGTTGGTGTCAGCGCCTCTCGAGCACAAAAACTCTACCACCTCTACGCAGCCGGCTTCTGCCGCCAGCCACAGGCCGGTACAGCCGTCGCTCGCGCAGCTCTCGATATCGCAGCCATGACGGACGAACTCCTCTACCACGGCCATGTTAGCCTGCAGGCAGGCGCGTCGAAAGGCTGAGCCTACGACGGCGTCATCGCGCACCATGGCGTGCCGGCCTATTGACCGAATGAAGCGAAAGGAAGGGGAAAAAGAGATGAAAAAGGCTCTGCGACCACGCAAGAGAGACGAAAGCAAAAACATGAGGATAGGAAAACACAGATACACGTTGAATCTGAACTGAGGTCTTAGCATACATTCTGAATGGTTTCGTTGACGCTCCCTCGTGTTCTCGTTCCCCGCGTCCCATCTCCTTTGTCTGCCGATACCTTGCTGATCCCCGAAAGCGACAAATGCTCCTGATACACCAAGAGCCATTCACCACGGCATTCTTCTCATCACAGTCATGATATCAATACGTCGAGTCACCTATTTGAAAACAAAATACACACGCGATTGGACGTTAAAACAGTTGTTTACTTTCACGAGCAATATACTGGAAAAAAGAAATTAGCAAAAACGAAAAAAGATATCGGGCTTCTAAAGGAATACCCAACTGATAAAAGCAGTCGAGGAAAGCAGCGAAGAGATAGCGGAGCCAAAGGGGGAGAAGCTGTGATAGTGAAAGTAGTAGAGGCAAGTCTGTCATCGTTGTGTATTCGTGTCTGCAGAGATCGTTATGTATATATATATATATACGTTGATGCACAACACATGCGTACTTCGCCCCCACTCAATCCCGCACTTCTCCAAGACCCTCACAAGAAACACATCTTGTGTGTATCAACGTGGCGCGCGCACACACACACACGCACACCCAAAAAAAGAGCCCACCTACATCCCCTCGAGCCCACACATCATCTTCCGCCGGGGTCATGTCACACCTCCACCACGTGAAACTGAAATCCCAATGTCACTGTCATTGCGTTTCTTTTTATTGTTATGAAAGAAGTGGCTGCTCAACGTTGTCGGTGGCACCCAAACTCATACCACGAGAGCGACGACGGAATGACTCCTTCCCGGATGGCTTCCATTTGCCCTCCGAGAATGTCCGGTAGCCGAAGATGTCAAACACCTCAAGGAACTTGTACGTCAGCACCTTCACGATGTCCTGCACAAACCACCAGCCGATACACCAAACCCACACCCAGAGCGGCAGCAGACGATGCGCCATGCTGTCGCCGTGCGACAGTCCAATAGTGGCAATATTGTCCATCTTCCTGTCGGGCCAGAAGGCAGCAACGCATGAGGATATCGCTAGTGAAACGAAAGCCCCAGCCAGCAGGATGAAGCTGGGACAGAAAGCCCAGAACCAGTCGGGGCCAGTACGGGAGGAGAAGAGTGTGAGGAAGTCAGATATGGAGGCCTTCAGATACAGCATCGTCACGATTTGTCCTTCTGAGACAGCAGGAATACCAAGACTGTAGAACCATGAATCCTCGCCATGCGAGTCCAGTGCCATCCACAGCAGCAGCAATGACGACATACACGCCACCCCAGCAAGGACAGTGGCCATGGTGAACATCACCGGGAGGTTCCACCGCTGAGGGCGCTGCTCTGGTACAACCCTGTCATAGCCAATAGCCATCAGTGTGCCATCGTTAAGCAGTGTAATAAGCATAAACATCAGCACCGGAATGCGGAAGAAGCGGAAATTTGGGTCCTCAATACCGTAGTCCTCACAAGGGAGTGCAAAGACGCCAATGAAGAAGAAGAACACCAGTTGCAGGGTTGCAGAGATACGATAAGTGAGGAACGATAGCATGCGCTGGAAGACCCCACGAGCAATGAGCATTGCGTCCACAACAACACTCAATCCTGGCTCCGTCAGCACCATGTCGGATGCAGCACGTGCCGCGTCCGTGGCCCCGTCAACAGCAACGCCAACATCCGACCGCTTCAGGGCAGGCGCGTCATTGACGCCATCTCCTGTCATCGCAACAGTGTAACCGCGCTGCCGCAGCGTCTCAACGATGAGGTACTTGTGTTCCGGGTACACGTGAGCGAAGCCGCCGCAGGCCAACATCATATCACCGTGTGTGTCACCGAGTGTTCTTGGGATGTCCTTTGGGTCGCCACTCGCCGGGAACTTTGGCAGCCCCTCCGCCGTCAAAATGTTCGTGTCCATGTCTAGCATGCGGGCCATTTCCTTGGCGATGAGTTGGTGGTCGCCGGTGATCATCTTCACGTCGACACCGTACGCTTTACTGCGGTGGACCGTCTCCTTCGTGTCGGGGCGCGGCGGGTCAAGAAATCTCAGTATGCCAGCCATATGCCACTGCTGGTCCTCCTTGGTGCGCGCGACGGTGAGGCATCGGATGCCGCGGCGGCTCAAGTCCTCAATGATACCCTCCACCTGTGCTTTGATCGCATCGCGGTTGCGCACCAGCTGCAGCACAACGTTTGGTGCACCTTTTGTTACTTTAAAGACGAGGCCGTCGGGTCCGCGGAGGGTCGCCTCCGTGCGCTTAATTCGGGGGTCAAACGGGACGAACTCGAGTTGCGTGTACTTGTCGCACTCGTCGAGGTCGGCGACACTCAGCACCATCGTGTCAAGCGCATCACGTGGAGGCTCACGCCACTTGGCAGCGAGAGCAGCGAGCACAAGGACACTCTCACGGTTGTATTCCTTGCTGAAAACGTGACACTGCTGTTGTATTTCCATCTTGTTCAGTGTCAGTGTTCCGGTCTTGTCGGAGCAGAGCATGTTGACGGCCGCCATCATCTCAATCGAAGAAAGACGTGTGACGATCACTTTCTTTTTTGACAGCTCCCTGGAGCCCAGCGCGAGCGTCGTGGTGACAACAATTTCGATAGCAATTGGAATCGACACGACAAGCAGCACAACAGTGAACTCCAGAGCATCGCGGAATTTCAGCTTGTAGTGGCCCATGAGGTAACCGAAGCAGATGACGCACAGAACGAGGGAAAGCGACGTCAGCACGAACATCACACGCATCAGCACGTAGTGGATGTTGCCTAGATCCGCCTCGACGGACTGCAGAAGTAGCGCCGTCTTACCAAAGAATGTCTTCTGTCCCGTGAACTGAACGGTGCCATCCACCTCGCCGCGAACCACCGTGGAGCCCATCTTCGGCATCTGCTCCTGTCCCATCGTCACCGGCAGCGACTCGCCCGTCAGCGCAGCCTCGTCCACGTCGATGGTGCCCTCGTTGATCGTGCAGTCGGCTGGCACCGCAGAGCCGGCAGCGAGCTTCACAAGGTCGCCCGGCACCAAGACCGCCGCATCGATATTCTGCCACATCCCGTCGCGCATCACTGTTGCGAGTGGCTTCAGCGAGTTGCGCAGCGCTGCTACCGCGTCACCAGCTTTAGTGGTCTCGTACCAGCCAATGGTAGCGTTGGCGAACTGAATGAAGAGGAGTATACCACCGTCGGGGAAGTTCCGGAGGGAGAATTCAATAACGACGGCAATCCAAATGGCGATAGGCATCGGCCCCCACAGACAGCGCGCAAAGATGAGCCAACCAGGTGTCTTCTTATGAGGAAGTTCGTTGCGCCCGTGCTCGTCAAGAAGACCCTGCGCCGCTCTCGAGGTGAGGCCCTTTGACGGCGGCAGAAGGGGGACTTCTTCGTCGTCGTCGTCGTCCTCTTGCTGCAGCGACTTGGCCTGCAACTTGGTCATGGACGCTGCTTCGTACTCCCTTTTCTTGTTAGCTATTATGCTGCTTCACAAGCGTGTGTCCGTGTTTGTTGTGCATGTATGTAAAGGGGAAAGGTTGTACAGAAATACATTTCTTTGTCTGTTGCAGTTGGTGTTTTTTCATCTTGCGTGCGTATGCATATAATCGCAGGAGTGAGAACACATTGACCCAGTCCTACGAATACCAGTAATTCTTCCCTCACAGCTTCTCATACAAAAAAGTGCAGCGTCCACACATCCACGCCCACTGACTGACCTCTTTTCTGCTGTTTAAAGCGCACGCCAACACACAGACACAGACACACACGCATACAGTGAAGGAACATACATCCCCTGAGGGGTACAGAATTGGTGCAGCACTCCAAAGACCCACACGCACACTTACACACATTCAACCACGCTTGGCATGAAAAAGGCACCCTCCCCCCTTGTAAGGAGCACAGACACCAATCGCAATTACATCTACAACTCATCATCTAATATGTTTTTTTCTCATTTTTCTTTCTTCGTCTTCGTCTCCTCCTAAACGTCTAAAAATCTAAGTGAACAAGTGAAAAGGTATCAGCAGAAACAGAGTTAACTAATTCTTCTCTGTCTCATATTTGCCTTTTTTTGGGGGGGAGGGGGAGGGGGGGGCATACGTGCACGTGTGTTTAAATTCGTTTTTTTTTCTCTTGTCTGTCCTTATCTTCCGCAACCTGTAGTAAAGAATGGGGAAGGACACGCTGAGAAGATCCCTTTGCGTGTGTGTGTGTGTGTGTGTGTGCGTGCCTCAGATCCGGCCGGCCGGAAGTGCCCTCAGCTTCGCCTGTATCTGCGCGGAGAGCGCCGCTAAATCCGTCGTCCGCCGCTCCGCCTGCGACACAGCCCCGTCCCTATTAGTCACCCTCACGATCGCCCGCTCAGGCGCTGGTGTGCTGCTGGCATGCTGCTCAGCACTGCCGTCATCGTTGTTGTCGTCGTCGTCGTCGTCGTCATCATCATTGTCATTGTCATCGTCAAGCTCTCGGCCACCTTGCGAGCTGCTTTCGGAGGAGTAACTGCTGCTGTCCGTCTCATCATCATCATCTTCGTTCTCACTCCGATCCCGCTGAGTGAGGGTAGCGGACTCGAGTGTGCGGATGAGCATCTGGCGTAGCTCCAGTACGGAGTGCTGCTGCTCCGCCAACTGCGCGGTGTAGCGCTCCGTTTCCTCCAGCATACGACGCCGCTCCCCCGCCCATGTCGCCTCCGTCTCGCGCTTCTCGCGGCGCAGCTGCTCCAGCTGCTTCTCAAGTGATGCCTTGCTGTCGAACAGCATATCTATCTGGCGGCCCTGGCGCAGCAGGTCGCCGAAGAGGGCGGTGTTCTTCGCATATGCCGCCTTAAGGAGAGCATCAAGCTGCGACACCTGCACGTGGTCGCACTCGCCCTTCATGCACGTGATGTCCTTCAGTAAGCTCTCGAGACCAGCCACCTTGGCCTCCTGCTGTTCCATGATAGCAGAGTACTTCTCCTGGTGCTCGTGCAGCTGTGTCTGGTAACGCTCCCTGGCACTCTTCTCCATCTTTGTCTCCTCTAACGCGCGGTTCTGAATGTTCATCACTCGTGTTCGGCTATCGGCCATCTCGCGCTTCAATTGGCGAATGAACCGCTTATTCTCCTCATTACGGGTGGAGAGAGCAACAACCTCGATAATTTTCTCTTGAAGTTCTTTGTATGTGTCACTCTGTCTTTCGGCCATTTCTTCATAAAGGGTCTTTTGGTGCTCGTACATTTTCTCAAAACGGTTGCGCTCCCGTTGAAGCTTCTCGTACTCGGCGAGATGCACAGTTTGTTCTCCCTGAAAGGTCGAATCCACGCAGCGTCCGACAGAGACGCTGCTACTGCCGTGGTGGCGCTGCTGGTGGTGGCCTTGGCTGTGTTGATGCTTCTGCGAAGAACTTGGGGTGCTGGAGGAGGCTCGCTTGCACTGCGCCGACGAAGACATGGAGCGCCTCGGCGTCGGCGATTTGGCAAAGGGAAGGTAAACGGAGCCGGTGTTGGTCAAGTCCGATAGTGGTCGGATGCGGTGGCTTTTTGCACCGCAGGCACTCCCAATGTTAGTGCTGTCGTACTCGGTGATGTCGACGGCGTGGCAGTTGCTGGGCGGCATCCGCTGTGGGGACAGAATTGCCACGGCCGACGGGGACGCGCTGATGCAACGGGCGGTTGGCTCATCCATGGAATCTTCCAGATAGATGGCGGTGTCATCTGTGGACGTGCCAAAGTGGCGCGGGTCCAAGCTCTCAGCGCCGCGGGCCACCGAGCGCGATGGCATCGTCTCCAGCTGCCTCTCCTCCATCTAGCTAGTCTTGGGCTGGTGGGTTGAAAGGAATGGGAAAGCGAGGGGAGTGGAGGCCGGGAGAGCACCAAATCAAAGGCAATCACACCGCACACCACATACACAGATGCGCACGCCCAATTACAAAAAAAAAAAAACATTTCCGGAAACCATAGTCAGAGCAAGTGGCAGCTGCGCCTCGCGACGATAAGGGCGCTGCGCTTTTCAGTTGTGTTACCACCCTTACATGACATAGAATCATTTGGGGAAGTAGATATCAACCGGCCAGTGTACGGCGACTGGTTCTGCAGCCACAAAAGTAACGCGGTGTGGAACACATCCTGTACGCCTAAGCCCATTTTGGAGCTGCAAATCACCAACGCATCCGCGTTGATGCTCTGCTGCACGTTATACGCCTGCTCCCGCGTCACCATTCCATCCTTGGTGCCCCGCTGATCCGCCTCAACGCGCAAATCGAACTTCGTGCCGCACAGCACGACGTTAAATGGGCGCCGATGTGTGGTACTGCTGGAAAACGTCATCTCATGTTCCAGACGACGAATCTCGCGGTACCACCGCATCTGTACACTTGTCAAGCTTTGCGGGTCATCCCACGCGAAGCACAAAATCAAAACTGATACTTCACACACTGGAAGCGGCGGCGGCACTGACCAGGCACCACTCAGCTCAACGGGCGAAGTGCTGCTGGTGTAGCACATGCGCCGGAGCTCGTCAAACTCCTCTTGCCCAGCGGTATCCCACGAGCTGAGTCGCACCAAGCGGGAGCTCCCGCCCCCCTCTTCGCCGTCGTTGATAGGGAGAAGCAGCTCGTAGTTCTCCAGGAGGGTCTTGTTGTAATCCCGGCGCTTCGCCAGGTACTCTAAACCATTTGCGTAGCTGTGTAACAGGCAGGTCTTGCCGACCTTGCCGTCGCCCAGCAGGACCACTTTGCACCGCAGCGGCTCCATTGTGAACTGACAACGGGTGCTTGATAGAAACGCGCAAACACAAACACACACACACACACACACGGAGAGAGAAAATAAAAAGGCACACAACCAGGCGAAGCTGATTGGTGGAGCTGTGTGTGAACGGCGATTATATAGAGAAATACTGAGAGAAAGGTAATAAGACACCTTCCTGCACCTTAAAGAAGACAGAGTGGTAGAAAAGAGGAAAAAAGAAACAAGCAAGCGGAGGGTAAGATGACAATATCAGGTTTCTCACACGCAACGGAGAAGCAGGCACAGAAGCAAATCTCTCTATGTATGCATGCATACTTCATATGGTGGGGTTTGGCGGCATTGATGACGATGATGATAATAATAATATTGTCTATTGACTTAGTCATCACCAGTTTGTCCACTCAGGGTCCCGCTCGAGCTGCTCCATGTAATGCAGCACGCGCTGCGTGATTTCCGTCTCGTCGTAGCGGTTGCCAAAGAAGTCTACAAAGCGTCCTTTAGGATCAAATAGAAATATGGCGATACTATGGTCGATCAAGTAGTCATTCGTCTCTGCCGCCTCATCGCTCGGCAGGGAGTAGTAGATGCGGTACGACTTGCACGCGTCGCTCACCTGCTTCGGCGTACCCACAAGTCCGATGAAGTCGGGGTGAAACACGGACAGGTATTCTGTGATCGCCTCTAACGAATCGCGCCGCGGGTCACACGAGACGAACAGCGGAACAATTTTGTCTTTTGGCCGCTTCGCCCGCACAGCGTCGACGACCTTCGACATACGATTTAGCTCCACAGGGCATATCTCCGGGCAGTGCGTGAAGCCAAAGTAGAAAAAGGTCCACGAACCCAGAAACTCTGCCTGCGTGACGGGCTCACCGTCTGTCGTCACTAGAACAAATGGGCCGCCCAGCGCCGGCCGCCCGCGCGTCTCAACGTTAACGCGCGCGCTGCCGTCGGCGCCGAAATACCGTTTCTTCGCCTGTTGTGAGCCGTACCAGACGGCACCGGCGCAGAGCACGCCAAAGGCAGCCAGTGCGGAGTACTTGCGCAGCGCCGCCCTGTCCTTTTCGAGCTCCTCCCGCTCAGTGTCAGCGGCAGCGCCGGCCTGCGATCGAAACTGTCGCAGTGTGCACGTCAGGGTAGGTGCTACTGTTACCGCTGCTGCGGCTGCTGGACGCCCGTACAGGCAGCGCGGCACAAGCCCCAACGCGCGTCGCATCCGCTAGATGGTAATTGTGATGGAACCGATCAACACACCTCTGCTCCAACGAAAGCAGGCAAAGGGGCAGAAAATGACTAAACATCATGAGTAGAACCTCCCTCAAAGAATAAGTAGCAAAATTTTTCCTTTCTCTTCTTATGTCCCTCTCTATCTCACCCCTTCCACACTTTTTTTAAAGGAAGGGCAGGACTCCTCTTGTGAAAGGACAAAAAAAACACTCTTTGGTGTAAAAACACATCCATCTCACATGAGAATATCCGTCCACGATGCCCACCTGGTGCATACAAGCTTTTGTGCTAAGCATCATCCTTCTCGATCGCCAACAGTGAATCCCCATCACTATCCTCACCATCCATCTCTTGTTGTTGGCGTTGCTGCATCACGCCCGGAGTGGGAAGTGACGCACACGATGGTGACGACACACCAGAGGGAAACGATGAACCCTTGTCACTCCCGAAGCTCTCAGTCTGTGTCAGATCAGAAGCACGCATATCAATCGCAAGCGGCACACCGCTGCCACCGGCAGTACGACTTCGGCGCTCTGCAATTGCCTTGTATCCGCCCTGCCGGACCCGAGTGAGTGTCTTTGGCCGCGGTGCCACCGTGTCGGCTCTCTCAGCCATAAGTTTCTGTCGCATTTTTTCCAGGCGCCGTTCCTGGTCCTCCTTTATAGCGCTGATCCGCTCCTCCACGGAAGGCGGTTTGCACTGTGGCACCTTGAAGTCGCTGTCGCTCCTGTCGGCAGAGGGGCTTCCTTTGTTTTTTTGCCAAGGAATCGACGCCGGCGCGTGGTCGCTGTTATTACCAACACCACCACCACCACCACCAAGACTACCATCATAATCCCCTCCCCCACTTCGCCGCCCCGCATCAAAGTCATTACTCACTGAGATACTCTTCTCCTTCGGGGACACCATTAATCCATCGCCATCTGCCACTGAATCACGTTTTCCTGGTGGTTTTTTACCAGCCACACGCAGCCGAACCTTAACACGGTCCGCCCCACCGCGCCGTCGAGCCTCAACCGGCAACGGAGCACCACCACCACCACCACCGCCGTTGTACGGCCCGCATCCATCCAGACCCAGTGTACTGCTAGCCGCTGGCTTCGCGGGGGACGGATCATGTTTTTTCTGCTGCTGCTGCTGCTGCTCCACTGAAGAATCTTGAATGTCGAGAGCCGAGGTCGACGTCTTCGCGCTTGTGTTTCGCAAAACTTGCAGCACAGGCACCGCGTTTGCATCGCACCGAGTTGCCAACAGCGATGCTTGCTTCCCCACCTGTGGTCCCTCAGCCCCCCGCCGCACCGTCGCGGAGTGCAGCCGCGGGGAATCAGTAACAGAATCGCTAACGGCGCCAGAAGGTGCGGAGCCCGCGGGGTCCACAACGGGATCCTCAGCCGCTTGCATTTACAAATGAACTATTATGGACTCACTCTAGCAAATTTCTTCAACCAGTAATGGACCAAAATAGCCACCACACACACACACAGAGACCCACGCACACTCAACCAAACAAAAACAAAAAAAATTCAACAATAAAACGGAATTCCCCCCACCACCACCACCATTTTGCTTTTTTTCTGCACATTCCCAGAATGGCTACCCCATCACTGGTAGTGCGAGCTGTGCCGCAGTCTCTTTGCCCCCTCCACCATTTCCGGTGATATCTCTGCCGACTCAAGCCGCTGCCGCCGCTCCTCGCGCGTCATGTCGGACACCAGCTGCCGGTCGGCATTCACCATCAGCCCCGACGCCTCGTCGCGGTACGCATACCCTTTGGTGCCGTCGTACACCGCCTGTGGCGCATTTGGCACGTACTCGGGCGCGAAGTCACGCCTGTAGTACTGTTGCCGGTTGATCTCGATATTGTCTAGAATCTCGTTGGCGTGGTTCGTCTGGGCGCGGTTGACAAAAAAGACAGCAACACACGCGGCGACGACAACACTTCCGCGCCACTCCATCCACATTGAGCGAAAGAAGCCACGCTCGCCGTAGCGCACCAGAAGCTCGGGGTCCTCAACGCCCATCCACCACGCCCTCAGCCGCGTGAAGGGGCCCACAAACCGCCGCCGCCCACCGGCCGCCCGCGCCATTCGCGGCATTGCGCCAGTACACTACTGCACCACGTCCCTCAGCTGAAGATGGAAACAGTGAGTGTGTGTGAGAGAGAGAGGAGATAAGGGAATCAACGAAAAGGGGGTGGAGAGAAACGCTTTAACAACATTGTTTTTGTGTTTAATCACATTCAACTCTTTTTTTTCCACGTTATGTAGTGTTTTATGTGGTGATGTTTTCCGGTTCATTTCCATCTCGTTGGAGTCGCATATATATTTCCATGCGACCGGCCTCTAACTTTCCGCCTCATCCTGCCGCGCAACACTTTGGACACACCAAAGGCTGCGGCAAGGATGGGCAAATAACAACTGGGGCGAAAGACACCGTTTTCAAGGAGAGGTAAAGGGAAAAACAGCACACACACACATATATATATATATAATCGAGAAATAAACAAAACTAAAAAAGTGAAGGGGCCTGATAAACCGAAGAATAGAGAGAAAAAGCGAAGTGTGAAAAAAAAGAACGACATGTCGGCTCACCTCAACGCCGTCAAGACCTTCCTCTCGCCCTACTTTTTTGTCCTATTCGTCTCCTGCTCCTCCATAATTCGTTATTGCATGGCTATCGATCGTCGGATCTCACAATTTGCTGATGTTTTGCTTCTGTTGTGGCTTCTGCTGTTGAAAGGAGAGGCAAAGGTCCACCTCGTGCCTACTGCCCATGTACACTGCCACACGCTGATGAAGTTTCTTCGGCACAACATCGAGTACGCGTGACGTTCCCGTTGAAGCTTTGCCCCCCGCTTGCTCCATGAGCATCGCCATCGGAGCGGCCTCATACAGCAGGCGCAGTTTTCCTTTCGGTTTTCGCGAGTCACTCGGGTAGCAGAAGATGCCGCCGTACAACAGGGTCCGATGGACATCAGCCACCATTGAGCCAATATACCGTGCTGTGTACATCTTCTTTGACTCCTCCTTGATGTAACACAGGTACCTCTTGAACCACGGATCCCAAAGACGGAAATTTCCCTCATTTACACTGTAGATCGGGCGAGCCACTGGCAGTGTAATGTGGGGATGCGTGTGGATGAACTCACCCACACTGGAGTCGAGCGTGAAACCATCAACACCGTGGCCGGTGGTGAGGACAAGGTTGGTGGCACTTCCGTACATGGCGTAGCCGGCGGAAACAAGGTTATTCCCTGAGAGTTGCGTTAGGTACGCGTTGGCCTCCTCCGGTGTCGTTACCTTGACCTCGTCCGAAAGCCGCCAGATACCCCAAATGGAGCCGACTGAGACGTTGGCGTCAATGTTACTGCTCCCGTCAAGTGGATCAAAGAAAACAAGGTAGCGGCCTTGGTGCTCACTTTCCACGAGGACAATGGACTCCTCCTCCTCACTCCCAAGGAATGCGACGCACGTTGAGGACATCAAGTATGCCTTGAACGCATTGTTTGCTATTACGTCAAGTTTGGCTTGTGTATCCCCTGTGGCATTAGAACCACCATCGTTCAAGTACCCAAAAAGACCCTGCATTCCCGCTGAGCGGATGTTCTTTTCGATAACCTTCACCGCAGTCTGGATAGCCATCATGAGAAGGGTAAACTCGCCACGACTGTGGGAGGGCTGACTGCGAATCATAAACTGCGTCAGCGTTGCCGGAATGCGGGCTCGTGGTTCCATGATTAATCACCTGTAGAGGCACCTCTAATAAGAGAAGTAGTGGGGGGTTTGACACGAGACGTGCACGTCGCAAGAGAGCCAGAGAAGGTGCAAGAGTGAGGGGAAAAGAAAAAAAGGGGGAGGAGCGAAAGCAAACACCACTGATTAGGGTCATGGCACCCCCAGCTGCATCATCCAACTGCCGCACGGCGCTCACAGAAGGCAGAACTCGGGACGACAACAAGTGGAAACGAAGCAGCGGAACGCAATACCTCCACTTAGCATTTCCATGTTCCTTTTGTATGTGTTTTTTTCTCTTTCTTTCTCTTTCTCTTTCTCCGTTCTCTTTCTCGTTCTATCTCTTTCTCTTTCTCCTTCTTTTTTTCTCTCTCTCCCCACTGTGAGGCTCTGTACTACCCCGACAGCTATACCTAATACAAGAAGAAAAGGGCACGGGAGTGTGGCTGATACCATCAGTAGCGGAGCGGGGTTGCGGCACCACAAGTTCACCCTCAAACCTCTGCAGAACAGCAGCAGCACGCAGCAGCATGCAAGTCAATTGGTCGAGTGGAAATTTCGTCCTGCGTTAAGCACTCGCCTTGCATTCATTCCTTCATTTCGGTGGATGGGATTACCGTGATCGCCCGGATCTTCATTAATGATCATCGGATTAAATCATCGCCCAGTCTGTAGCTATCCCATGCACGCGGCCCTATCTTTCCCTCCCTCTCACCCTCACTCTCTCCTTCTTTCTTTCCAATCCCACCAGGGATCCTCCACAAGCTTTGTTTTCTTTTTTCGTCATTTGTTTGGGTTTTGTTTTTGTCTTTCTGCATTCCTGTCCATCAGTTTTTTTTTCATTTTCTTTCACCCGCTGTTGCATATTGTTGTTGTTTTTGTTTTTTTTTCTTCTTGTCTTTTTTTTTGGTTGCATATGTGCTTTCATTCCCTCCGCTCATACCTCGCTCTGTCGCTCTCTCAGTTAGCTCCACTGCTGAGGAAGAACGGGGTACATGTTTCCACCCTGCATCTGCTGTGGCTGTTGCTGCGGAGGTGGCGGTGGCTGCTGTGGCTGCGGCTGCGGCAATTCGGGTATGCCGTCCTCGTTTATCACTAGTGATATGGCAGGGTTGCTCGTCTTTATGTCATCCATGCGCGAGAACTGAATATCGAGGGTGAATGTGATGGTGTCTCCAATCGTCACAGGCTGGCCCTGTAGAATGTTCTTCACATTCTCTGCGGTCGCTTTACAGTCAAACTGAACCAAAGCCTGTACTCGGTTGTGATTGCGCTGACTGGACTCATTCTTGGGCAGAACCACAATCTTTCGTACAACGCCGTAGGCGACAAAGATCTGGTAAACAATCAAGGGCGTGATTTGTGCCGCAGCTGACACGTCATATTGGGTATTAAACATTGATACCAGTAGCGTTTTGCTTGTGTGTTGAGTGGCAGTAAGCTCTTGATGGTTGCTGTATCGGATGTACACACGGCGGCCATCAATCTCAGCATACCCTGTCTCACGGAAGAAGTCTACCAGCTGTTGTGCACTTTTGGTGGACTCCATCTCTACGAGTGCCTGGTTCATCTGGCGGAGCATCACAATGTGTTTAATATTGCCGAAATTCTGAACAAGGTTCTGGATGCTCAACTGCGTCACGTTGGGGGTAATGTTACGCATATGGATAACACGGCTCACCTCACCTATCTCGTTGTTACGCGGACGTGGTGGCGGGCGCTGCCCCATGTGACGACCGATTTGTTGCCCCTCGTAGCCGCCGCGATTAGGGCTTGGGCTGTAGTTCGACATCATACCGGGGGCTCCCTGAGGTGGGACTTGGGGTGACATCATACCTTGATAGGGCATCATGTTAGGAGCGCCGTACACGCTGTTTTGCGGGAAGGGCTGACTGTACATTCTCGGGAGAGGTACAGTGTGCAGGGCGGAAGAAAAAGAAGACTGTCGGTGTGTGTATCTGTGTGAGGTGGTGTTTGCCTGAAATTCAACTCGCGCTCAAGCAGATGGTGTTGCTTACTACAGATTTTGCAGTGAGTCTCCTTACCTCTGGAAAATTTAACTGACGCAACTAAAGGGAGCGTCAAAGTGGGGGCTGTGTTAATGTGATTCCTAGGGAACGAAAAAAAAAGGAAAAATATCGAAAGAAGAAGTAAAGTCGGCATACTAAAGCAGAGAAAAAAAATAATAATATTATATATATTGCGCACCACTTTAGCACACCATTAAGAGAGAGTACACCATGAGCACCAATGTCATTAAACAACAAGAAAAACACATGGAATACACACACACACACACAGAAACACACAGGGACTCTGCTGTCCTCTATCAAATCTATAGGAAAGCTCTCTGAAGCTCCGCGAGGCGTTTTGATGTGTGCAGCGCCAGCGTGTCTCGTCTTTTATTATCTCTGCCAGACGACGGAACTTTATTAGTGTCATTCCTCGGCGCGCCCGCCGTCATTGCCATTGTCATTGTTGTTGTTCTCATCCCCACATCAGACAATGATGAGCGCCTACGCGGTTCAGGTGAGCCCGAGCCAACCTTGCTGTTGCCGCTGCCGCCACCGCGTTGCGTTTTACTCAGCACAGCAGCCGGCATGTACATGGCGAATCGCGCCGGCACCTGCGATGGTGGCGACAAGGCCTTTGTCCGCTTCTTGGCGGGACTTGCACACTTTCGCGCTGCCCGCCCGCCACTCGGAGCGCGGGCGGAGGCGTACAGCTGACCCAGGTCCATTGCCTCCCGTGTGGGAGAGGAGGCGGTGCGGCGCCGCACCACCGTGTTGTTCTTGGTTGCTGGTGGTGGCGGGGCGTTGGCAACGGCGATGGCGACCGGCTGGGTCGTGTGTGGCTCCGATGTCGGTGTCTGCTCATGGCTGTTCTCAGCCGACGCCGCAGCAGTATAAACTGGCAGAGAGACCTGCTGAAGTTCCGTAACCGCGTGAGAGTGAAATACACGGGCTACGCCCCGCTCCTGCGAGGTAATTGGCTGCGGCGGCGGCGGAGGAGGATCAAAGTGCATGGTAGAATCCTTATTGGCTTCGACAGAATGGCCCGTAAAGTGAAAACGGGGTGGTGTTAGCGTCCTCGCCGTTCCCGCCTCTTTGGTACCCTCCACTGTGTCATTCTCCGCTGTTGACGTAAGGAATGTGTGCTGGCTCGGCGGCACCACCCACTCGGCTCGCTCGCTCCTCGGTTCTGTCACCCCTCTGCCTGCTTCTGCTCCCCAAGTGGGCCTCACAGAAGTAGCGTTAAGTGTGGTGAGTTGCTGCTCGAGGGCGGCGGTTCGTCTGCGCGCCGCATCCATCATCAACGAGCCCTCAACAGCAGCCGAATGTGCATTCCCTAAAGAAGCGTGCTTCTGTAGGATGCTCCGCGACTCAAGAATTGCTTGCTCCATGTCTTCGGTTGTGGCATTGACACGCATCAGGTCAGCATTTATTTGATGGAGGCTCGACAAGGTACGATCAATGCTCATGGTCGACGGAACGTCTGGTGAAACGCCAACACCGCGGCCCCGACTATCCTCAACTATCTGAGACTGGGGTGCTGTCATCGTGCTGGAGTCTTCCGTCCGCTTTGCACTTGTACCTGTCTGCACTCCAGAAGAGATGAATGTAACTTCGCTTTTTCGTGCAGATGTCGCGGCGTCGACGCGTGGAGGGATGGCCACTACTGGCACCACCAGCGGTACAGTCTGTTGTTTGGCCTCTTCACTCGGAGCAATACGTGGGGCAAATGATTGTTGGGGTGGCTCATGCACCGGTGTAGAGGCCAAGCGCTGCGCACGCGAGTGGAGCTCCAGCAGTTCTTGATTCATTATCATGAGACGATCCTTTTGCTGAATTGTGTGACGTACAAGCTCCGCTTGCTCCATTGCACTCAATCCAGCTTGATTTTGACTCGCAGACGTGTTTTTCGCCTCCACCGATAGTGGTCTTGATGCATTCGATCGAATGGCCTCTATGACACTCTGGAACTGTCTCGCATGTTGCTCCTCGTGTCGAGCGATTGCCTCTTTTATTTCCAGGAGCTCGTGTTGTTGCTGCTGTGGAGAGAACTGCGGAGCCACCTGAACAGGAGGCGTGGTCTGCACTGGCGCAGGAAAGGAATGTCCAGGTACAGGCACTGAAGGCAGAGGGATTGCGGTTCCCTTGGCCTTTAACTCATCCACGTACTTGTGAAACGCGGCATTTTCTGACGGTGAAAGAACAGGCTCCCTTATCGCGGACACAGGAATTGCACTTCTCTCGATAGAGGATACGACTGGCTGCGTTAATGTGGAGGCAGGAATCGAAGTTCCATCCTTCGGAAAATCGACACCCAACACCACTGGAGGTACAGATGGCACTTGTGGCTTCGGGGGCTCCGTCACCATCGAATTTTCTCTCCCTGTTGTGAAAGGCATGGCGCCGCCCTGTGGAAGGCTTTTGTAGTCTTCATGCGATACGAATGCTTTAACCGTTCTGAATGTAGCTGCTGCTGCCTCCTGTGGTGTAGCGGCATTTGGCTGCCAGGATTGCTGTACAATCTGTACTGGCTTCTGCAAAGGCTGCTGTGGCTGTTGTTGGTACTGGAAGGGTTGTTGCACGGTGTGCCAAGGGGAAACAATAGCAGCATTGGCAGGAGGTTCAGCGCGGCACAGCGGTTCTTCGTTCCCCTTGGCATGACTTTGCTCCTGTCGTAATGCATCTGACGCCGTGACTGATGGTGATAGCTCCCGCTGTACTGTTTTCAGTGCCTCTGGAGGCTTCAGTGTCAAGAGAGATGGGTTAACGAACACACAGCTTGCCGGTACAGATGGCGGAGCCAGTGTCTGCAGGGGAGAGGAGGGCCTTGCAAGGAAACCAATAGAAGGGCCCGCTACTTCATTGGGTATACTGGGTCCTTTTTCCCCTCCTCCCTCCGTTGTACTCAAAGCAAACAGCTTCACGCGTGGTATGTGCGGCTGCGCGCGTAATGACAATAGTTGTGGCGGTGTCAAATCATTTACCCTCTGAACAACTTGTGGCTCCACGAAACAATCACTGCGCTCTGCCACCATTTTCAATGGCAGCGGTGGCGGCTGAAGCACATTCTGGAACTGCAGCAACTTGACACTCGTTGGTTCTTCCGCTTTGGGTGCACTTAAAGAAATCATATGGGGAGGATGGGTTTCCCCACCCTTCATTTTATGGCGCGGCTGCCTTGTAAGTCGAACCGTCTCCTCTCCTTGCCTTCCATGAGATCTGTGCTTGGCGCACCGGTAGTGGTGACTCTGGTGTCTCTTGCAGCGACGGGGCGAGAAACTCAATGATCGGACGCTGTCATCGCCTTTGCCGTGAGTGTGTGTCAACCTCTCGCTTGTCAAGGTCGTATAGGACGTAGCGCTGGTGGTAATTTCAATATCAATGCCATTCAGTGTTTCCTGGATGATGCGCTGCCGTCTAGCAGATTCATCACGGTCATCATCATTCTCCCACCACGCAACGCTATCGGGGGGAAACAGTGCAGAAGCCGCAGCCGAACCAACAACAGCAACAGCACCGCCAGCTGAAAACAGTGGAGCACGTACCTCGTCACGCCCCCTTTGTGCCTCTCTTACTGGCGACGACGTTGAAGCCGACGACGATGAGCTTGTCGTAAAAATTTCATCATTTACTTTTGCACGCTGAGGAGAGGCAGACACCGGCCTTGTCAGAACTGGTGACACTTTTTGCGGCGATGATGGGGGTGGGCGGCCACTCAGCGGACTTATTTTCGTCTGAATCAGCGATGACCTTGTTGCCACCGCTGCAGCTCCCACTGGTTGCGTATCGGCGGGCGGTGCCAGTAACGCGTGCGTGCGCACAGGCGGGGAGAGAGTGCAAATCTGACGGTACAGAGCGTGCGCAAACTGGGGCGAGAATTCCGTCTCTTCTGGCCCATCAGCGATGCCGCAGCTGAGAATACGTTCTCGTGCGCGACTAAGAGACTCTTTAAACAGCTGCGGCGCGAATTCAATTGGCCACATGGCGTCTACCCAATCCGTATTGATCAAGTAGCGTCGGCTAGTCAAGCTGTGGTTTCCCGGCCAATCAGGCACGACGGCGCCACCCTTTTTCGTCCACGGGAAATACGCTGTCGCTGACTTGGGTGTGGCGGTTGTATTCCTTTGCTCACCCAACTGCTCGCACAGCTCGTGAAACTCTGCGCTATCGCCACCTGCATGCGACGCCTCCGTGAGACGATCTTCGACGGCGTAGTAGTACTGCTTGAGCGACGTGATGGAAGTGCTCGAGGCTTCTGAAAGCTGCAACATTTTCAGCAAGAAGGTGGCCAGTCCAGGGGTGCTCGAGCACGTCTCTACTGAGCTGGACGCGAGATCGACGCACCGCCATTGCAGTACCTCCACAGGCAGCGCAGTCCCCTTGAGGTTGTCAATGGCTCGAATAAGCTCAAAAGCCACGTGCACAATCAAAGTATAGCTCGTTGCCCCGGCAATCAGCTTGGCGATGCGCTCTTCAGTGTGGTAAGAATAGCCAATCAAGCTCAACACGCGGAAACACATGACATGGGTCCTGGAAACGACTGACCCGCTCAATAAAGTCGCCTTGTCGTTCCCTGTGTCTCGCATGGAAGTGCTAACCGAAAGCACACTAGTCTCGATATCCTCGACCTTGTATGGTGACCATTCCTCAGCAGATGCCCATAGCTGTTCGAGTCGGGCTAGAATGATTTTTAGTCGCTTACGACATGTCTCCACCGACTCGCCTCGCAGCGGCTCTTCCACTTTTTCTCGCAGAATCGCCTTGACAACACTGGTCGAATAGTTATTTTGTGCCGCTATCGCCCTATCTGTCATTGCGTGCAGCAAGGCTGCGATGACAAGTGCGCGTGTCTCCTTGCTGAGGATATCCCCTATGTGTTGCCAAAGTGCCGCGTTAAAGTAATCATCAAGCATTGAGCCACTGCAAAGAATAGAAAGAATGTATGACGACGTCTGTGGTCCTGAAAGAATAGTCCTGAAGAGCGCACTCTCCGTCAGTGACACCGCTGCAGAGCATTCCGTGAGAAGACGCACGTTGTCGCAGAGCGGCTCTAGTGGCGTCAAATGGTCAATAAGAGGCAGAGCAAATATCTGCAAAAATGTCGCCATGACATGGTATCGTCGCGCCAGCAACATGGAGAGCAACGCTGCAGCACACTGCGTCAGTGGGGTGTCCGGCGCCGTCGTGCAAAGCATGTCAGTGGAAAGCGTGAGAGCGTACTCAAACTCAGCATTATCCTTGAAGGAATGCGGCGGCACAAAGACTAAGGTTTCATCAACTTCCATCACGCAGCAGCGCAGCCCCCCCACATCATCAACATCCACATACACTGGCACTTTCAAGCAAGAGGCGAGCAACGCAAGGGCGATTGTGTGAACCACATGGGAGGCGTTGGGACGTGCAAGTACCACGTGCGTCCCGTTCGATAAGGTTGACACAACGACCATGCGGCGCACACATTCCTCTGCCAAGACAACAAGTGAGATACGTTCCGCCAAACTGTCCAGAACAAATGAAACATCATCTTCGAGTTGATGTGTAAAGCTCTTCCAGACAAGTTTCAATTCATCAGACACAACACTGAGCAGCCCTTCCACCGCTTGATCCCGCTCATCTGGTGTCTCATGGGACCGTATGTAGTTCTCCACTAGATAAATGAAAAAAATATCGGTGTACAGGACCGAGTTGTCACGAAACCGCTTGGAGAGCGTTTTCTGCAAAAGTCTCGTGAGACTCCACATTGTCCGCCACTCCAAAACCGACTTGGGTGCGGCGGCGCTCAGCAGCATCTCAAACACCCGCTGGGTGAGGAACACCTCACGCTGGGAGGGCCCGGTGCACTGCAGCATCGGCAGAACTCGCTGGAAGACGAGCTGGAAGAGACCCGGATTGCCTGAGCTAAGCAGTCGCTCCATCGCCTGCAGGCACCGCACAAGTGCTATGACCCGCCGCTCTGGACACTCTTCGCTCGTGTCCAGCGGGGCAAGGATTTCGCGTGGTACACCCCCACCGACGGTGAGGCCTGTCACCCGTAGCGCCACACACAAGAGTCCGTTCGAGCAAAGAATCTCATCGTTGGCGAGTCGCATGAGACACGTCGAGTCCCCATGAACNCTTGCGGTTGGCTCGCCAACGAGCCGACTTTTCGGAGGAGGAATGAAGCGCACAGCGTCACCGCTACCAACCACTTGCACATCGATGGTGTCACCAAACACCTCTGCGGCGCACGCATGGTAGTCTTGCGAGAGCACAACGACAACGTGGAGACCCTGTTCCGGGCGTGATGGGTGCGGCACGCGCAGCCACGTAACGCCGTGGGGGGTGCCCTGCAACCCGATCTTTGTGCAGCTGGCCAGCAGTTCCATGTTGAGAGGAGATCGTCTCAGGTGCACAATGTAGCACCCTGAAGCAATGGAAACAACAGCAGCGTAATGCTGATCTTTTAGGTCGGCGTAGAGGCGGCACAGTGGAGCCGCATGCCCGCCACCCTCCACCTCAGGTAGACGAAAGAGTTGGCTTTGATAACAAACGCGAATCGTGGGGTCAGAATCGTCTAATGAGAAGACAGCCTCGCGCAGTAGCACGCAGCACAACACCCCCTCCGGACGGGGCGATGCAAAATCCTTACTGTTGTCTTTTTCCTTTTCATCTATCATACTTGTCTGGTCAAACACCGAAAGCGCCAACTCCACTGAAGGAGCTGTTGTTGCGGTAGAGTGGTCTCTCTGTGTCTCCACAGAAGAGCTCATTACCGAAACGACACGCTCACTTTGGATGCGCAGGCACGCCGGTATTCCAAAAGAGGCATTTAGTTCATGGCACCTCCATAAGTTTACCCCCAGAGCTCCAATCATCACGTAGACTTTATCATCAGGGGTCGACAGGACTGTGCTGACCACCAAGCTTGATGCCGTTTGCTTGAGACACGAGCAGTGAATTTGCAAGAGAGTGGTCATCTCTTTTCCTTTCTTCTCGCTCGGAATTAGAGGTGCAAGCACAGCATCAAGGCTTTCACTATAGTCCAAAGGATCCGCTACCAGACGCGTGGCACTGGAAGGGCTGTGTTGCAGAACAGCGAGGCCCAATCGCCTTCCCTTGTCGTGATGAAAAAAAACGGCAGTAAAAAGATCGTCGCATGCTGCATCAACAACACGTGTCGCGTACTTCCCTGCGCCTCGAAGTGTCGTTAGACCCTTCGTTTCACTCCACACGCGCAGTTCGCCCTTCTTCTCATCGAGAAAAACTGTGCAGACCTCAGGCCCTTTCCCTGCCTCCGCAACCAGGCGGCGGCATGCCACCACCCGTGCGTGTCCGGGCTTCTTCCCTGAGCCCAAGCAGAGGCTTGCCAACGGCGTAAAGGCGATGACGCTCATGCGAACCTTACTGTACTAAATAGGTCAAGGAAAATAGGAGCACACCAAAACATATACATTACAACAATGGATAGAATTGCACACCGGTGCATGCTACGCCCCACCCTCTACTTATCTTTACTCTCTTCCATATTCTCCTCCGGCTTGCACATCACGTTTACGGGTTTATAGCGTACCCTTCTGCTCCCTCAGCCACAAGATCATGTCGTCCCGCGAGGCTTGGGGATGAAGCATCATGTACCTACGCAGCGCAAGCAACGCTGGGCCAATCTGCGGAGGGCCGAGGGGAACAAGTTTGGCGAGCTCATCACCCTTAAGTGGTAGCTGCCGTGACATAGCATCGATCAGCCCAGGCTCCTGTTCCAAAATGGGCCACATCTCACCAATGAGGCCTGCAGCCTTTTCCACATCATTAGATGTCAAAATATCGCTCCGGTGTTCAAACAATACGTAGGCTGAAAAAACAATTTTGAACGCTGAAGAGATCATTTTTTTGTCGTTCAAGTCGCCCAAACCCTCAAATATAGCGAGTTTCGTCTTGGTCGTTAATCCTTGTTCTGAGATTATGCCCACGTTTAGTTGCTGCTGCAAAAGAGTGTTGTAACAATCCAGCATACGCCGGAGTATGTTGTACGAAGAAAGTGGTAATTTCAGTCCGTTCAAACATAATGCGTACAGACGATCTGCTAATTGATCGCGAGGCATCCCACGGTAAAACGGCAGACACAAGAGAAACAGTATAGCGACCATTTTTTCCACTGGTGACGGCAGTACCAGTGGTGAGTCGTGTTGAGAAAAGAGGGGAGCCAGCGTGCGGTTTAGCAACAGAACGGACTTAAGACTTCCTCTTGCCGCCTCGCTTGTGGCCAAATACTCCATTCTCTCCACTTCAGCAGTGAGGTGGCCTTTTTTGCTGCTCTTCAAGTAAAGTTCCACCAACAGAACATGTTGGAGAAGGCCTAGTTTGAATAGAAGCTCTACAGACTTTTCGGGGCGCGGCCCTGATAACATCTTCGCCACCTCTTTCCCGACACGCTCCCGCGATACCTTAAGTGTCACTTTATCGAGGAGCTCCTTTGTAACGCAGTTAACGACAGATTCATCGAGTGAAAACCCCAACTCCCCAAGTTGGCCCACAAAGCGAATCCCGCGTAGCAACCGCAGCGGATCGTCTGTGAATGTCTCCGTTGGGTCCAGTGGACAGCGGAGAACACGACGTCGCATATCCTCCAGGCCTGTCGTGTAGTCCTCCACCTCCATGGTATGCAAGTTGTAGAAGAGTGCGTTGATGGTGTAGTCACGACGCAATGCATCCTCCAGCGGCGTGGCAGGGCGCACCACCGGGATGCGCGAGTCAGGCTTGGTGTATTCGTCGTGTCGCAAGGCGCAGAACTCAATAGGTGTATCACATACACACACGGTCGCTGTCTCAATGTGCTTCGACAGCTCTGGGTTGACGCGGATTACACTTACTGTTCGTGCTGTCATGCCGATTGCCTCCTGGAAGGCCGACACCTCGCGTGCAAAGGCCTCCCCGGAGACATGTTTTAATGCAGGCGATTCAATAGCGATATCGATATCCTGTGAGTGAAGGCCGAGAAGGGCATCTCGCACCCACCCACCCGCGACTCGAAGCGTCGCATGAATGGAACGCTCTTCATTGACGCGAAGAAGAAATGCGAATATTTCCCTGTGTGCTGCTGCTATTGGTTTTTCCAGCTTCACCCGCTTTGGTGACAACATCGCCTGAGACATGAGAGAAAAAACAAAAAGAAATGAATAAGGCCGGGAAATAAAAACTCAAGGTTGAAAGTTTGCAAAAGTAAACCACACAGAGCAGTGTGGTAAAGAGGAATGGAAGCAGTGCATGACAAACTCGGCTTGTACATCATTCTCCTGTGTCACTGAGGTTGTTCAATTACATCTCGCTGCATCATTGAAGCTGCGTTCGCACGAACAAGGTCACGCAACTTCACACGCCATTCAACATCTATCTTGGTGTTGTCTATCCCAAGCCAACACACCCTTGGACTGTCCGCGAGAAGCTGTTGAAGCTGCACAGCAGCACCCTCACTTATGTAATTGTCCGAGACATTGATGCGCTGCAGCGACGGGTGCTTCACAGCAGATGAGCAAAGCGCACGGATAGCATTGTTGCGCAGGCCATTTTCAGAGAGGTCGATCTCCAGCAGATTCGGGCATCGATCGACAACGGCCAGTAGCGGCAGGACACCTTTGTCACCCAAGTAGTTGCGGCTGACATCTATGCACTCAATGCCTGCCGGCCCTTGGTTGGCGGAGAGAATATCGAGCACGCCGCTATTCGGATTGAGGCCTGCCTCTGCACACGCCCTGATGTAAACATCACGAGGCGCAAGTTGCCTGGGACGCGCTGGCTTGGGGTTCTTTTTTCCCATCGGCCTCGTCGGACGTGGGGGCATCGTCTCCCGCTAACTAACAAGTGGCCTTCCCACGGAACACAAAAATTCATTATGAGGAGAAAAAACATTAGTAGCTCCACCCTAGTGCCACAGGTGTGGCGCAGACTGCCAGCAAGCACACGATAAAAAGAACGTATGTGCTTCATTTGCGCTACACGTGCCAGACAACTGATTTTCCCTTTTCGCTTCCTTTGCTAATAGATGAAGCAGTTAGGCAAATGAGTCAAGACGCCACGTACACAAACACACACACACACTCACTCACTCACTCACCCACACAAAGACAGTGCTGTCTCCTCCTTTTTTTTTTCTATCCAGCTACCTATACTTTCTTCGTCTTAGTAGCTCCACCAGTTGATGGGGCATGTATCCTTGGACATGTCACCCTTTGCCGTTATGCAGGCGTAGGGGCGGCCCGATGCAGAGCAGAGAGAGTAAATGGCACAGAAGCACCCCACTATGCAGAAAGCTGTTGATGCGTACAGATGGTTCAGGGCCTTCGCCATTGTACTTTGGCCACGCGCAAAGGTGTTTTCTTCATGCCCCATCGGCTCCTTGATGAGTTGGTGGCCCAAACGGCGGAAAGAGCGACGGAACATTATCCACTTGGTTTTGAATAATCCTAGTATATAGAAACAAAATACGACAATGAAGTTTCGTTGTTGTTGTTTTTTGCGTACCGTGTAGACAGAGCAGATAAACAACACAAAATAAAAGGCGTGTGAACGCGAGAAACAGAAGTTCCAGGACCATATTCCTTGCGCCCATAGTATACACTTTCATGCGGCTGTCGTTTGGGTAAGGAGAGTAATACAAAACGAGGCTCAAACATCTAAAATAAAGGCATGCCACATACTCTTTTTTTTTGTTTCTTTTCCTTCTCGGTGTCAAGTTCCCTTGCTTAAGTTCATATATTCGTACGCACACACACACACACATATATGTGAGGTCCCAGCTTACATCCACGACGTATGTTTACTTCCTATTTACTCATCCTTGGCGTTCCCCTTGACCGCACAAGTTAGCTGTTCCATGACAGAGGGCCAAAGAGCCAAAGGAAATCTTCGCTCCATTTTAAAATACCCCGACGGCGTCAAGGATGGGTTTTTGAGCAGTCTATAGAGTCTCTCTTTCTCAACCGTAGAGAGAGGGTGGGAACTTGGCAATGGTGTGGGAGTAGGTGTCTCCTGCTTATGAACAAAGAAATCGTCGTCGTCACCTCCCAGAAGATCAACCCAACGGACGGGCGGAGGAACCTTTCCCTCCTCCTCCTTCGACACAGGGTGCAACTCCTTGTGTCGTTGAAGAGCGTAGAGTTTCGCCTTCTTAGGTAGCGCCTGGTATTCTTCTTCTAACAGTGAAAGTAATGGTTTGATGTTCATCTCCCCCTTTGCAAGCGTCAGATTGTCTTCAGCATCCACAAGAATGGCCAGCACAGTAGGGAACAGAATGTGGCGCGCTGACGTAAAGTACTGAAAAGGCATAGCGGAAAGAATCCGAGAGAGTAGCGATTTTCCCTTCCCCCAAGCAAACATGCCTTGAATTTGCTTGTCTTGCACACAAAGGTATCCAATCAGGAGAAGGCATTCGTGCAACGCGGCTCGCAGGTGGTACGATGGACGAGCCGCCGAGATTGTTGAACTCGACGGTGGGCTGTTAGATGATGGTAGACTTGGAAGCGGCGGGATTTGTGCCAATGTCACGCCAAATTTCAACGCCTCCTCAAAAGAACCACGCACACCTTCTCCAACAACCTTTTCTTCTTCAATACTCTCAAGTAAGTCAGGATGTGCATGTGTGTATGTGAAAAAACCCGTGAGCACATGAAACATCTCCGTTTGTGTTATAACACTTGAGTGTTCTGCTTGCACGTCCTTTGGGTCTACATGAACGTGCTGATTCCTGTCAGAGGTAGCATCATGCAACAGCTCCTGTAGTATCTCTAACTGCCACCGCGCAAGGCAGTTTAGCACGCGAAAAACAATAAAAACAATAACAATTCGTCTTGGGCTGAGAAGTGGGCTCGTCTCGCTCAAAGGAACACCATCCGGTGTCAGTATATTTTGAAGAAGTGTAAAGAACGCGCATGCCACCTGTCGGAACCACGCCGTTGGGCAGTCACCCTTCTTCTTGCTTAAGATGCAGACTTGTGAATACAAGAGACGGGTCGCACTGTACACAACCTCAAGGTCCTCCTCCTCTGTACACACTCGTGTGACAGCGATACAGTACTTCTCGATGCTGGCAGCGTCCAAATCGGACAGCAGTTGATCTCTTACGTTGATAAGTCTGGCATTCGTCTGGGTGTCAGTTGCGATACGTTCAAAACACAACTGTAGAATTTCTAATGAAGCAGCAAGCGGTACGGAGTGACTGTGCCGCTTCAGTCCTTTTATCTCCTCGCGGATGCAAACAAGCAGCGGAGCGAGATCCCCTGATCGGACAAATGTAAGCACATGCTGCTTACCCTCGCCACTGCCTGTGAGGAAGCGTAATAAAGCAGCATACGCCAAACGGAACGTAACCATATCATTCCCACGCCGCGAGTCCATCATGACGCGCGTCAACGTCTCATAAGCGTTGAAGTAGCGCATGTATTCGTGATCAACCTCACAGAAATCAGATGTCCCAAGTAAGTCATGAAGAGGCTGGCGGCACTGAGCCAAGGAGGTAGGTGATGCACTCGATCCAAGTCGACTAATAATAGATCTCAGTTTGCTGCGATTTAGATCCTTAGCACTCATAGTGCTTTCTCTTTGATAATTTTCGTTGAAAGTCTTACCCTGTCGCAGCGTCGCAGCCACCACCTTCGCAAGTTTCTGCGCCAGCTGTTCTTCTTCTTGCTGCGGAATAACTGGCATGAGCTCCTGGATAGTAGGCTTGGTATCAGCATCCCGGCCCTTGCGTTGTCTAACCTCTTTTATCTTTTGCTCCTGTTTACCAAGTTTCTGTCTCAGCAACTCTCTTTTCTCTTCACGAATTTGAGCACTTTGCTGGATACGTTCTTCAGCCTTACGGCTACGCGCCTCTGCCTCGGCGCACGCATCTCTTTGCCGTTGTTGCACCTTCTTTTCCCATTCTTCTGCTCGCTGTTCCTTCATATCTTTTTCTAACTTTTTCTGTTCTTCAAGTCGTCTCAGGTTTTCGCGGCGTTGTTGCTCTCGCTGCTGCTGTCGTTCAATGCGCTCCTGGCTGAGATTGCGTCTTCGTTCAGCAGCGGCAAGTATGGCATCGTTTCGCTCTTGCGCCAGCCGCTGCATCTCCTCCCGCTTTTGCTCCTGATTGTGCTCCACTTCTGACATCTTGCGATCGAGAAGGAGAGCTTTTGTCTGATGACGCAATTCATAGTTGAGTCGAACTTCTTCGACGCGCGAGTGGCCTCTCCTGGCACGCTCCTTCGTCTGCTCCCGCGCCTCCTCAACACGACGGGCCCCGTTTTCAGATCGCTCCATCGCTTCATTGCGTAGCCGCTCCTCTGCCTGTTCCCGGCGCTGCTTCGCCAGGAGGCTCCGCTCGCCCGCCGCCTCCAACTTCGACTTTCTCTCCTGCAGTTTGCCCAACCGCTTCTCCTCAGCCTTGCGCTGCCGCTCTTCGCTGCGGAGGGCGGAAGCGTGCCGCGCAGCCTCAATCCCATCGCGACGCTGGTACTCGCTTTCCATACGCTTTGGGGAAACCTTTTTGTACTTCGGAGAGCAGAGAGGCTGGCTCCTTGGCATCACAGCAGGTTCAACCTCAGCATGATCGCCCTCGTCAACCTCACGATTCATCGGAGAAAGCCCATTAAAGCGGGTGGAATTCAAGTTCACCTGCCGCCGGCATTCAATGCGTCGATCAACCTTGATTGTTCTAAGCGCCCGCAGACCTTCCTCTGTGACGCTGATGCAGTCCTCAACAGACAGCGCACTCGCAGGGTTCTCTAAGCACGTTACCACCTCGTTAATAACAGCTTTCAACTTTCCAAGGAGATGGAACGCAGATATGGTAGTACCCTCCTTCGCCCCACTCGGATGGATCGGCTGCCCGCCATTCATGTCATCGGTCACACCCTGAGTGTCAATCGACCTTTCAATACTGCGCTCATTATTATGCTGAGCCTCCATTTCTCTCAAGTAAACAAAATCACAAAAAACGAAGAAAAACCTATGGTGTCTGCATAGTGCAAATACAACAACATGTCACATCGTACAGAAAGAACAAAATCACAAAAAAATCACATTTATACGCACCGACCGCGCAGACATGCGTCAACGCACAGTTGCGTAACAAACAAAGAGGCCTACTATTACCCTAAACAAAAAAAAACATGTCTAGCAAACAAAATACTACCAAGATAATGCGCAGTTAGACACCAAACGCACTTCTTAGAAGCACTTGTTGTGCACAATACTCGGGCCCGCCTCGTCGTACTCACTCTTCTTTATCCACATTGTCTGGAAGGTCGTGAGGGACGAAAGGATGGAGCCGCCGATCCACACGCTGTACTTGCGCTCCGGCGGAGCAACAACCTTGGGCTTAATAGAGGACGGTGCAAGATTGCTCATCTCCTTGCCAAGACGTTCTGGGAGATTCTTGAACATGGTCGAGCCACCAGAAAGCACAATGTTCCCGTAGAGATCGCGACGCACATCAATATCGCACTTGTTGATGGACTGGAAGGCCATCTCGTGGAACCCAGGAGCCTCGTCCAGCCCGATCAGCATGGGCTTGAAGAGCGCCTCCGGGCAACGGAAGCGCTGGTTGCCCACCTGCATTATCGTGCCGTCTGGTAGCTCAAATGGCTCCTCACTGACAGACTTGGCGCTATTCGTCATTTCCTCATCGAAATCCAAGGCGACGTAGCACAATTGTTCCTTCACACTTCGCACAATCTCCTTCTCAGCGGACGTGGTAAACGTCATGCCGCTCTCCATCAGGAGCTTCATGAGGTACTCCGTGAGATCACGGCCGGCCATATCCACACGGCGAATGGCATGTGGGAGGGAGTAGCCCTCGTAGATGGGCACGGTGTGAGTCACACCATCGCCAGCGTCAAGAACGATACCAGTGGTACGGCCGGAGGAGTACAGTGACAGCACCGCCTGAATGCCAACGTACATGGCAGGAACACTGAATGTCTCGAACATGATCTGTGTCATCTTCTCACGGTTTTGCTTGGGGTTCATGGGCGCTTCTGTCAGCAGCACATTGTGTGACTCTGGGTTAACGCGCAGCTCGTTGTAGAAGGTATGATGCCAGATCTTTTCCATGTCATCCCAATTGGTAACAATGCCGTGCTCGATAGGGTACTTGAGTGCAAGAACACCACGCTTGGCCTGGGCCTCGTCACCAACAAAGAGCTTCTTGTTGGCGCTTCCCATCATGGCCTGCTCGTTCTTTGGGCGGCCAACGATGGAGGGGAACACGTGGCGTGGTGCATCGTCGCCAGAGAAACCGGCCTTCACCATACCGGAGCCGTTGTCACAGACAATGGCAGACTGCTCCTCTTCAGACATCGTTAAAATAATACTGCGGAATGCGCGAAAAACCTTATTGCACAAGGATCAAGCATCAAAGTGAAGTGACAAAGAAATAAGACTCAAAAGGAATCTCACGCGATGCAACAATTCGCATTGCACATTAAAACCGTATGGCATGTTTTTTTCTGATTCCCTAGCACTCGGCCATCCGAAAATGTAGTTGGGCTAAGATGTATTGGCCTAATAATGGTGAGCCGCAAAATACTTCTTAAAATAGGCTCATCTCATGAGCATGACTGAAGGGGGGAGTGGGCGATCCCAAAACTATATGCGAGGTAGAAATGCGGTAAGCACAGAGCATGTAGAGCGTACCATCGTAGTGCGAACGTAGTGATCACATATATCAGTGGCACTTCTTAGAAGCACTTGTTGTGCACAATACTCGGGCCCGCCTCGTCGTACTCACTCTTCTTTATCCACATTGTCTGGAAGGTCGTG